AAATATATTTTCTAAAACTATTTTAATTTTGAAATTATATTATTTTCACATTTGCCAAGTGTTTTAGCGAATAGTTATAGAAAGGGTCTTGTCGATTAAGACTATAGCGCATGTGCAATGTGCGGTTTTAAACTTCCGAGACGACAAGTCGACAAGTCGATGATACGACAGTTTCGCTTTTTGTCGTGCCGTCGTATCATCGATGATACGACGACACGACAAAATCACACGATCTTACGACAAAATCACGCGATCTTACGACAGAACAAACTGTCGTAAGATCGTCTGATTTTGTCGTATCATCGACCTTATTTTGTCGTGCTGTCGTATCATCGACTTATCGCCACGACAAGTCGATGATACGACGGTACGACAAAACACTAAACTGTCGTATCATCGACTTGTCGACTTGTCGTCTCGGAAGTTTAAAACTGCACATGCGCTATAGTCTTTATCTACAAGACCCTTCTATAAATAAAAAAACAAAACTGACACAGTTATATGGGACAACAATCACTGTTTTATTATACACAAGCACAGCGTTTCGATAAGTATTCTCTTATCGTTATCATTGTGCTTGATAACGATAAGAGTATATTTATCGAAACGTTGTGCTTGTGTATAATAAAACAGTGATTGTTGTCCCATATAACTGTGTCAGTTTTGTTATGTTTCCAATTGCTAAATGCCACTAAAGGATTATATTACCTTCTATAAATATTCGCTAAAACACTTAGCACATGTGAAAACAATATAATTTCAAAATTAAAAGAGTTTAAGAAAATATATTTTTATAGGTCTGGGGTTTTTGGGGGGGGGGGGGTTGGGTTTTTTTTTTACATTTGATCTGTCAACACTCTACCTACAGGCCGCGAATCTAGATGGAATTTGTTCAAATTTGGCACAATCATTACTTTCAAAGAAAGGATGGCACTCTCGGAGGCAAATGCATGACCGAAGCACTACTGTCACATTGAAACCTGTTTTTTTTTTTAAATCTGTTTTCTTCCATCGACTGTTTCCCTTGTTTCAAGTTAAATGATGATCTATTGGAAAGAACGTATTGAGTAAATCTACGCTATCACTAATACGGATTCAATATGTAATATTTCTCATTACTACCTATGTTGTTTAATCAATGTTATACATGTTATTTTTCAGTCGTATCAAACATCATTGATATCATTTTATTGATTCTGAAATTATTTGTAAAACAAAATAAGAGACGTGGGGGAGGGGGGGGGGGGCGTATGAGGCTTTCATAGTGTGTAATCATCTAGGCCTCGATCCATTGTTTTTGGTGCTTGATATTTTGCGGGGGAGTCGCAGTGTGTAGGCAGGTAAGACGTTGGTTCGGTAACCCGAAAGCTGGGTGTTCGATCCCTTCATTGGACGAGAAAGTTCATCCAGATTTTCCGACGAGGTCTTGTCAGTTGTGCTGGACAGAGGGCCTGGCACGTAAACTATCTTTTGGTAGTTGGAATTCGATATAATGGTAGGCCATAGTGCGCTGTCCTGGCAAAATTTCGCTCATAGTATGGCGTATGCCCGTTTTCAATATGACAGTAGTGGTTCGGTCATGTATTTACACCCGAGAGTATCATCCTTTCAGAGGATCGCGTGGCTACGTGGGCTAGACGCTGGCTAGCTAGCCTGGAGGTCGGGTGTTCGATCCCACACTGATCAGAAGTGAATATTCGCTAGGCCTCTGATAAGGATGACATCGATGCGACTTAATGAGTCCCCAATATTAACATTATTCCTCCGACAAATTTAATTCTAAAACATTTTTTTTTATGTATTAGAAAAATACATAAAGACATTTGAAGTATTTGTAGGTAAAAAATATTTCCTATGTAGCGTAAATGGGTATTAAAATGAGTAAAAGGCATCATTCTACCCGAAGCAGTTACGTCTTATATAAACAATGCACGAGCCATTGGTCCAATGATTGACACCGCGTGACGTGATTGCATGTGTTGAAAACAGTCATCTTTTACAGAGATATTAGACGACTTTTTCACAGATTGGTTCGATCCCTGCATTGGCCGACAAAATTCATCAAGATTTACCGGCGTGGTTCCCCCTTGTCAGTGATGCAGGACGGAGGGCCTGACAATGACAGCTGTCTAGTCGTTCGGATGGGACGAAACACCGAGGTCCCGTGTACACATTGGCGTGCACGTAAAAGATCCCTTGGCAGTTGGATTTCGATATAAGAGCGGGCCGTAGCGCCGCTTCCCGGGCAAAATTCCCTCATAGCACACTGTATGGCGTATGCCCGTCGTCTTTAGCCCAGCTTAGGAGAGAACAGTAGGACGTTAAACCCCATTTCATTTCATTTCATGCCATCCTGTCTTTGAAAGTAATGATTATGCCAAATTTGAACATCTAGTTCCGCAGTCTGTAGTTATACCAGAGGGTTGACAGATAACACCTTAAAAAAAAAACAAATCTATGAAAATATATTTTCTAAACCTTTTTTTATTTGGAAATTATATTGTTTTCACGTGTGATAAGTGTTTTAGCGAATAGTTGTAGAAAGGGTCTTGTAGATTAAGACTATGGCGCATGTGCAGTTTTAAACTTCCGAGACGACAAGTCGACAAGTCGATGATACGACAGTTTGGTTTTGTCGTATCATCGACTTGTCGTCTCGGAAGTTTGAAACTGCACATGCGCTATAGTCTTAATCTACAAGACCCTTTCTGTAACTACACGTGTTCGCTGAAACACTTAGCACACGCGAAAACAATATTATTTCAAAATTAAAAGAGTTTTAGAAATATATTTTTATAGGTCTGGTTTTTTCTTTGTTTTTTTTTTACGTTTGATCTGTCAACACTCTACCTATAGGCCGCGAATGTAAACTGACTTTGTTCAAATTTGGCACAATCATTACTTTCAAAGAAAGCATGACACTCTCGAATGTAAATGCATGACCGAATCACTACTGTCATATTGAAATGTGTGTGTTTTTAAATCTTTTTCTTCGATCGCTGCTTTCCTTGTTTCATGTTAAATGATGATCCATTGGAAGGAACATATTGAGTAAATGTACGTTATCACTGATACGAATTTAATATGTAATAATATTTCTCATGTTTAATCAATTTTTGACATATTATTTTCCAGTTGTATCAAACATCATTGATACCATTTTATTGATTCTGGAATTATTTGTAAAACTAAATAAGAGACGTGGGGGTGTGGGGGGTATGAGGCTTTTAGAGTGTGTTCGTAGTTGAAGATATTACTGGGCCTATTTTTACTCATCTAGGCCCCAATCCCATCAGTGATGTCAAACGGATGCAAGCCTATATGCGATAAGGTCAATAACGGCTGCGAATCGTTTTCTTCACCTCATAAAAAAACTCCTGCATCTATTTGGGTGACAATGGGGGGGGGGGGGGTTGTATGAGGCTTTTAGAGTGTGTTCATAGTTGAAGATATTACTGGGCCTATTTTTACTCATCTAGGCCTCAATCCCATTAGTGATGTCAAATGAGAGAGAGAGAGAGAGAGAGAGAGAGAGAGAGAGGGTTTAACGTCCACTCGACACAAATTAGGTCATTTCGGGACTAACATATGGTTTAATTTTATTTCAATAAATCGTTTGCGCGTAGGGGTCTTTAGCAGTGGGAGGAAACCGGAGGACCCGGAGAAAACCCACGAGGTTTGACAGGCGACCCTACACCTTGTCACGTACAACCGGGGATTCAAAACTACGCCAGTTGACTCAATGACAGGCTGCGAATCGTTTTCTCCACCTCATTCAAAAAAACTCCTGCAACTATTGGGGTGACGTGCTGCACTATGATAATGCTGTGATTTTAAAGAATGTGACCCGATTTGGTTTTTTTACAATCCCCTTCCCACCCTGTCTTCTGAAATGATTTTTAACCTATCGCTCCAGTCATCTATAAATATTGGTGGGTGTCGTACACATGGCAATGAATGCTTACTTGTTCGATACCTCCCGACACCACTTTTTCTTCAAGGAATTAACTTAGCTAACTCACTTTGGTCCTGCTATTGTAATTCTAGATTTTTTTAATATAATACCAAATATAATTCACTTGTGGACACAAAATGTTTCATTATTTTGAGAAAACAAATAATTAATCAACGTTTTCCTACTATCTCTTTTATATTTATCAAATCTACTACTTAGGCCTATATATGATGTAATGAGTACAGCTGTATTTTTGTGACTTGTAGAAAGAGACTAGGACAATAAGTCGACATCTCGACGTTACGATAAAAATAACACGATGATACGACAGAATAAAGTGTCGTATGATTGCGTCAATACTGTCGTGATGTCGTGTTGTCGCGTTATGAAAAGGGCGAGATTTAACATGGCCACTATCAGCCACCATACACATGTGACTTTGCAGTAATAAATTTTTGAAACTATGTTGGATTTTTCTATTAAGGAGTTATTATAACTTTACTATTTGTGCTATTGTTTATGAGCCGGATTAACCCAGTCGGAGCAGAACAGTAGGAAATGAAATGAAATGAAATGGGGTTTAACGTCCTACTGTTCTGCTCCTATGCTGGGCTAATGAAATTTTGCCTACTCTAATATCGAATTCCAACTGCCAAGGGATCTTTTACGTGCATTCCAGTGTATACACGGGACCTCGGTTTTTCGTCTCATCCGAAGGACTAGACAGCTGTCCTTGTCAGGCCCTCTGTCCTGCATCACTGACAAGAGGGAACCACGCCGAAAAAAATTTGGATGAACTTTCTCGGCCAATGCAGGGATCGAACACCCGATCTCCAGGCTAGCGAGTCAGCGTCTTACCCACTTAGCCACGTGGTCCCCAGAACAGTAGGACATTAAAGCCTATTTCATATCGTTTATGAGCCACCATTATATGGCACTTATCGAAATTTTATACTTTATGCAGCAGAACGTTAGTTTTGGATAACCAGTGTTTAAAGATGTATTCCAGGTATTTATACGGTAATAAGGTATATCCATTAAAAGTATGGTAAATTTGGTATATAAGGAAAGTGGAGACACCCAATTTTACTAGAAAATACTGGATTCGCTGAAAAATACCAATGAGGCGCGCACGGGAAAAATATAAGGAGGTTTTGATAGAACAGTGAAAGACTTAAACGTATTGCAGACTTCCCGCTTAAAGTATTCAAGAGCTAAATTTGACTATCACAGGTCTTTCTGCAGACCTTAAATATTATATAAATTAGATAAATTAATTTGAATATGTATTTAGTCCAACTTTACACAGTTTGTATATCTTTAAACCACGCTTTGAAATAATGTTCGTATTTTATAAAGCTGGTCTATTTTAAACACTGTTTAAATATCTCAAAGATTCCAGTGGGGTAGTTTAGCAGCTGACCAAGGAGTATGTTAGAAGAACTGCTTTTCGTGGCACATAAATGATATTATAATAGAAACCGCACATTTAACAGTGATGTAATTGTTATAGTGTTTAGCATGACGGCTGTCTCAAATGATAGTAATCTATGTCTGCTTGACCGGCTTAAGGAAGACAAATCACTATCGCTAATCAGATTAACGCAGTTTCTGCCATATTAATCTGATAATTCTTTGATACGGTATATCTGTCAAATCATCTGTATCACAAGATAACTTGGATTACTTATAAATTGAGAAGAGAAAATGACTCTTTACATTTTGAAGCAAAGACTAGAATAAGTATGCTCTGGACTACTGCTTTGGTGATGATAGCCGGCATATCGGGTACTTCTACATTTAGTTCAATTTATTTCGAACATCCTAGATGGCTGCAGAAGGAATTTACAGAATTGATTTACAATTGCCATGACATTCAAACTGCCACAAGAAAATCCTGCACATATAATGAGACAGTATGTTGTTCATTGTTTACATTTGGTGATTATTGTTCCAGCATCTGTGATTTTCTACTTCCGTTTCCGGACGACCTAGAGAGATTAAAAAAATTGATAACTGCTGAGTTATGTTCCAATGTAAGAGATGCCGCTCAGCAATGCACCGCCGGTACCAGTGAAATAGTATGCCAGTCACTGCGACAATTAAAACAAATATGTCATTATATATTTGGCCACGTCTCACCAAACACCGCGTCGACAACTTCTCCGACTACGTCCCCGATAACCTCATCAACGACATCACCGACAACTTCACCAACGACATCGCCAACAACGTCTCCTATAACCTCACCAACCACTTCTCCAACAACTTCTCCAACGACATCTCCGACAACATCTCCAACTACATCACCGACTACCTCACCAACGACATCACCAACAACTTCCCCAACTACGTCTCCTACAACGTCCCCGACTACTTCTCCTACTACTTCACTAACAACATCCCAAACTACTTCTGCAACTACGTCTCCTACAACATCCCCAACTACTTCACCAACAACGTCCCCAACTACTTCACCAACAACTTCACCAACTACATCACCAACAACTTCTCCTACAACCTCACCAGCAACTTCCCCAACTACGTCCCCAACAACATCTCCAACTACATCACCAACGACATCTCCGACAACATCTCCAACTACTTCCCCAACAACTTCCCCAACTACGTCTCCTACAACCTCACCAACAACTTCCCCGACAACATCTCCAACTACATCACCAACTACTTCTCCGACTACATCTCCAACAACTTCTCCTACTACTTCACCCACAACCTCACCAACAACGTCCCCAGCTACGTCTCCGACAACCTCACCAACGACATCTCCAACGACATCTCCGACAACATCTCCAACTACTTCGGCAACAACTTCCCCAACTACGTCTCCTACAACTTCTCCGACTACGTCTCCTACAACATCCCCAACTACCTCTCCAACTACTTCCCCAACAACTTCACCAACTACCTCGCCAACGACATCACCAACAACTTCTCCGACAACCTCACCAACGACATCACCAACAACTTCTCCTACAACCTCACCAACAACTTCCCCAACTACATCTCCGACAACCTCACCAACAACCTCACCAACAACTTCGCCAACCACGTCTCCGACAACATCTCCAACAACATCTCCAACTACCTCACCAACAACTTCTCCTACTACATCACCAACTACTTCTCCGACAACCTCTCCTACTACGTCTCCGACAACCTCACCTACGACATCTCCAACGACATCACCAACCACGTCCCCAACAACTTCTCCGACTACGTCTCCTACAACTTCCCCAACTACGTCTCCTACAACCTCACCAACAACTTCCCCGACAACATCTCCAACTACATCACCAACTACTTCTCCGACTACATCACCAACCACATCTCCAACAACTTCTCCTACTACTTCACCAACAACCTCACCAACAACGTCCCCAGCTACGTCTCCGACAACCTCACCAACGACATCTACAACGACATCTCCGACAACATCTCCAACTACTTCGGCAACAACTTCCCCAACTACGTCTCCTACAACTTCTCCGACTACGTCTCCTACAACATCCCCAACTACCTCTCCAACTACTTCCCCAACAACTTCACCAACCACCTCGCCAACGACATCACCAACAACTTCTCCGACAACCTCACCAACGACATCACCAACAACTTCTCCTACAACCTCACCAACAACTTCCCCAACAACTTCGCCAACAACCTCACCAACAACTTCGCCAACAACCTCACCAACAACTTCGCCAACCACGTCTCCGACAACATCTCCAACAACATCTCCAACTACCTCACCAACAACTTCTCCTACTACATCACCAACTACTTCTCCGACAACCTCTCCTACTACGTCTCCGACAACCTCACCTACGACATCTCCAACGACATCACCAACCACGTCCCCAACAACTTCTCCGACTACGTCTCCTACAACTTCCCCAACTACGTCTCCTACAACCTCACCAACAACTTCCCCGACAACATCTCCAACTACATCACCAACTACTTCTCCGACTACATCACCAACCACATCTCCAACAACTTCTCCTACTACTTCACCAACAACCTCACCAACAACGTCTCCGACAACCTCACCAACGACATCTCCAACGACATCTCCGACAACATCTCCAACTACTTCGGCAACAACTTCCCCAACTACGTCTCCTACAACTTCTCCGACTACGTCTCCTACAACATCCCCAACTACCTCTCCAACTACTTCCCCAACAACTTCACCAACTACCTCGCCAACGACATCACCAACAACTTCTCCGACAACCTCACCAACGACATCACCAACAACTTCTCCTACAACCTCACCAACAACTTCCCCAACAACTTCGCCAACAACCTCACCAACAACTTCGCCAACAACCTCACCAACAACTTCGCCAACAACCTCACCAACAACTTCGCCAACCACGTCTCCGACAACATCTCCAACAACATCTCCAACTACCTCACCAACAACTTCTCCTACTACATCACCAACTACTTCTCCGACAACCTCTCCTACTACGTCTCCGACAACCTCACCTACGACATCTCCAACGACATCACCAACCACGTCCCCAACAACTTCTCCGACTACGTCTCTTACAACTTCCGCAACAACTTCACCAACTACCTCGCCAACGACATCACCAACAACTTCTCCTATAACCTCACCAACTTCGTCTCCCAGAACATCACCAACAACCTCACCATCAACTTCCCCAACTACGTCTCCGACAGCATCACCAACTACATCACCAACTACTTCGCCAACTACATCACCGACAACCTCACCAACGACATCACCAACAACTTCTCCAACAACCTCACCAACAACTTCCCCGACAACATCTCCAACTACATCACCAACTACTTCTCCGACTACATCACCAACCACATCTCCAACAACTTCTCCTACTACTTCACCAACAACCTCACCAACGACGTCCCCAGCTACGTCTCCGACAACCTCACCAACGACATCTCCAACGACATCTCCGACAACATCTCCAACTACTTCGCCAACAACTTCCCCAACTACGTCTCCTACAACTTCTCCGACTACGTCTCCAACAACGTCCCCAACTACTTCACCAACTACATCACCGACAACCTCACCAACGACATCACCAACAACTTCTCCTACAACCTCACCAACAATTTCCCCAACTACGTCTCCGACAACCTCACCAACAACCTCGCCAACCACTTCTCCAACAACTTCTCCGACTACATCTCCAACCACCTCGCCAATGACTGGTAAGTAAATATATGGACATGCAATAATTAGTCTTGTTTCCTCACAAGGATTCAATTGAAGTTTTCCCAATTCCTTGTTATGTTAGTTTTTGAATTCATTTATTAATTGTAGGTGTCTTTTATTGTGATGTAACCGGAACATCGGGACGAGTTCAGTTTCCTGTTAGCGTGTTTTGTGATGGCAATATTGACTGCACACCAAATGCTCAAGATGAAAAAAATGCGAATTGCAGTAAGTTTAATTTTATAGTAATGGGATGAAAGAAAGCAATGTCTGAATATCACAGCGCCGGAGGAATTATAAAACTATGACCCCCGTTTTCTGAACTTGGCTAAACATTTTCCCTATGATAATTAGAAAACGATCTCTGCTGCGTCTGTCATTTCCTTTTCTTGTTAGTACACTAGCGGTCATAATAATTCACACACATATTTGAAATTGATATAGGTTGACAATCTCGTGGAAAAGAAGAAACCTATAGAATTTCAGTGTTTTTAGATAATCCCGTTAAGAATTAATCCCCTTTTGTCACTACATCTTGTTAGCACTTTATAAGCTGCAGTTATTAATGTTGAAATGTATATCGGTTGTATATGTTTCGATGATAACTTCTAGGGTTATACCCTTTCCTAAAAAATCATGTTAGCAACTCAGATGTTTTAATTATAATGTAGCTAATGATGGACGCGTGTTTCGTTCCCTGGACACCTATGTTTATATGTGTTAGAATTAAAATAATGTGTTAGAAGAAAACGATGTCTCTTATCATATTTTCTATAGCTGTACTGAGAATTTTACCATAATGAATATATTGTGTATTTCAAATAAGCACAATTGGAGACAAATACTTTTGACATGTATTAAAGTCGTTAAATATAAACATTTAAAATATAATCTTTTTTTATCAGATGGGTGTTCAGCTGGGATGTATAAATGTAAAAACAGTGATTCATCATGTAAAGATGCTCTTACATTATGTGATGGTAACGCGGACTGTGCAAACGGATTTGATGAAACCACCAGCATGTGTACACCAAATTCCTAAATGGTTAACGTGAAAATACAGTCATTCTAAAAACAGCTATGGTGTTCTTCAGTGAGATATTAAACCTAATGAACTGAGTCCGTAAACATACTTCATTTTTCCATTTAACTAAGTGTGTTACCTTAACTCGGTATTCAAAGACTGTATTTTACATGTCTTTGGCTGTGTGAAAAACTTAACTGCACACTTACGTTATGAAATACCCTCAATCGCTTAAAAGAATGAATTCCTAACTTATGGAATACCCTCCACTGCCGAAAATCACGAATCTCTAACTTAGCACGCAAATTATGTCCCCTAAAGAGCACCGGTAATATTCATACTAAACCTACACGGTCTGTCTGCAATTACCGACATTTTAATTCCTAAATGGACGATTTTAGTCGAAAACTCTAAGTATACTTGGATACTTTTGAGAAATATTTACACCGCTTTAATTTAATATCATTGAAAAGGTTTATTTCGTCTCTGTGTGTATCGCAGATAGAAGCATTACAAAATATAGTATGAACCTTTTTGGATATGGCGGACATTTAGGGCAGCGCTCTATTCTCGAAGTAGATAGTTGTCTGTGTGCAGAATGCACCATACTCTATTCAAATCTTAGTTGTCATTACTAGGAAAATATCTGTCGAAATATTATATTGAAACGCATGAAAATAAATTATGACTATAAATTATGATAGAACGCATCCTTTGCAGGAACAGTTGTTTTCGTAGATTTTTATAAAAATTTCAATAGATTAAATTGCAGTTATCGAATGGTGGTAGTATAATGGCAGATATTGTAAACTTTATTATTTTAAAAATGTATAACGAATAGAAACCAACATCTTAGCAATACGCAGAGCCTTTTGGCTTTAAAGTTAGACTGAACGTATCATTCAATATTGTTTATCAATATATCATTTGAGAAATTCAGACAGTCTGTCAGCAGCTACACTTTAGAATCCCAAAACGCCTGGCGTTGATGGTACATTGCGTGTACTGAAGATGCACGTGACGTTTTTTTTCTACCTGAATAAATACTGCTGATTAAAACGCAATAAGTAATACAAGAAATTAATTGTAAAACATTGGTGGCACCCTGCGGTCAGCAGTCATCATCACATATTTGTAAATTTATATAGAACATGTTGCAAACAATACTACTGCAAATCCGCAGCTAACTTCAAATATGTATATGTATATGTAAAGATACTTTATGGGAGATTAGATAAAGAGCTGGCAATTCGCACTAAAATAGTTAAAAAAAAAAACCCAAAAACTAGATAATGTAAAGAGGATGTCTAGTCGTCTCAATGTCCAATTTTACAAATTAAAGATACATTATGGGAGATTTGATAAAGAGCTGGCAATTATCCCTATAATAGTTAAAAAAAACTAGATAATGTAATGGGAATTTGCTGAAAATTTCAGTCAAATTGATCCACTCTGAACCGAGAATTTAGCGATTGAATTTTCGGCCTAGCCTCGATCTTCATTACAAAAGTCGGTACGACAAAAACATAGTCTCGATTATCCATGATTTAATCATGAATGAAAGTTGAGCAGCAAATCGGATCCTAATCCAGTAAATATCGCAGGCTAGCGCGATGACATTGAAAGTTGATATGGTCTGGATAAGTTAATTAATGTCTAATTAATAATTTAGGTAACATTTCAGGCCCAAAGAAAGACCTGTTTATTGGATTAGGTTCCGATTTGCTGCTCGACTTCCATTCATAATTTAATCATGAAATGGATAACCGAGACTATGTTTTCTAGCCTATAGACTTTAGTAATGATGATTGAGGCTAGGTCGAAAATTCAATCGCTAAAATCTCGGTTCAGAGTGGATCAATTTGACTGAAATTTTCAGCAAATTCCCTTTACAGTATCTAGTTTTTAACTATTATAGTGAGAGCTGCCAGCTCTTTATCTAATCTCCCATAATGTATCTTTAAGTTATTTCCTATAATAATGTGAAAACAATGTGGGTTATCTATTTATATTTTGTTATTTCAGTTATTTCATATAACAATGTGAAAACAATGTGGGTTATAATTTTTGTTTGTTATTTCCTATACTCTATTTATATTGTGTTACTTTATTTCAGTTTTTTCATATAATAATGTGAAAACATTGTGAGTTATTTATTTATATTTTATTATTTTGTTATTACCGTTATTTATATTACAAAGTGAAAACAATGTGTGTTGTCTATTCATATTTTATTATTTCCTATACTTCATGTAATAATTTGAAAACAATATATATAACCCACATTGTTTTCAAATTATTACGTGAAGTATCGGAAATTACAAAATATAAATATATATATATATAGGGGAGTGCGGGACTGAATTACGCGCACGCATCCGAGTTCATAGGCAACAGAGTTTACAAATTAATCCTGTTTTGAAAGTCTCTAAACATTTAAATACTTGTGCTAAGAACTTAAATATTAAATTTAGTATTTTTCCTTTTTATAAAGTCAATATTGACAATACTATCAAGAGGCGGAATATGGAAGCTTACTTTATTGACCGGTTCAAACCAGATTTAAATGCTTGATTTGCACCCTTCCCACCCTATTATTATTCTAATAATATTTAAATATAATCTTAATATATGTTTTTACACTTTTTACTTCAACACTATTTAAGGGGATTTTAAAACCCTGTATACCTTTATTTCTCTATAATCGGTTTATTAGAGAATAAGATGGATATAAATAAATGTACAGCCTAATTACCTAATTGATCTATTGACATTTAATTAATCTCTTTACTTCTGTATGGTTCTATTGTCAAATTATACCAGGAAGATTATGTAAATTAATGAAAGGTTAAGTTTTATTATAGCCAGATTACATAATTGGTCTATGAACCTTTATTTCATCTCATTGTTCCTATATTGGCCATTGTCAAACTATACCAGGAAGACTATGTAGATTTATGTCATGTTATGTATTATATACTTTTAAACCTTTTGTTGTACGTTATCTAATATTATTTATAATCCATTGTCATGGAAATCTATTATTCTAAGAATGTATATATGTATCGTATTTGTAATATTTTGTATACATTATTAATATCTGAAGACGCCCATAGAAGGCAGACAGCTAGCTTATATGATTTAATGTATGTCAGAATGAAGTTAAGTGGAGAATTTTTTATCTGGACGGATTTTTTAATTTTATTTATGCATTTATTTATGCTTGTACTTTATTTACTTTAATGGGATATATTTAATGACAAGTGTTACTTATTGACTATTAAGTCGAGGAATGTATTTTTTAATAAAATGGTTTTCCATTATTTTTTTCTTTTTGTTATGTTATTGACTTTCGTTTTATATTAGCGGGACAATTAGGAATTTTATTTGTAGGTGTTGTGCACATTTAAATATGTATGTCTATTTTCAATGTTACAATCCCGTCGATGGTTGCGTACTCTACCCCTTTCATGTGTGCCCGTTTCTTCGATGCAAAAATTGCGACAACCATTACGTAAAGCCATATATATGAGGTTTTTTTGTGTCACAGTTCATATTGTCGTTGACGACAAAAATGAAGTTATATAAAAAATAAAAAAAGCTTTTCAGATTAGGTGTATGTCTTTGCGATAAGTAAATTGAACATTGTCAAATTTCATTCTGGGGTTTTTGTTTGAAGTCAAGATATATAATATTTTTAGTTATTTCATATAATAACGTGAAAACAAAGTATGTTATTTATTTATAAATAACGTGAAAACAAAGTATGTTATCTATATATAATTCATTATTTCAATTATTTCATAAAATGATGTGAAACAATGTGGGTTATCTCTTTATATTCTGTTATTTCAGTTATTTCACATAATAATGTGAAAGCAATGTGTGTTATTGTTACTGTAAATGGTATTAATAATATATGAATAAATATATTTTTATCATAGATTATTTTGTATATTAAAATTATGTTATTAACATCGATATAATGTTAATCTGTTGTGTATTGATTTTCATTGAATCCAGATAACATCACTTCATATTTCCTCAATGATAAATCCATGACATTTCTTAGCCTATAACAATAATTTTAAAAGATGCCTCAATCCTCCGATAAAAATATTAAAGGTGGTTGACCGTTTAGATTTTTAATTCTAGGCCTGTTTGGTTATTCCACCAAAACCTGACAGAAAATGTAAATTGAAGCACCCTTCTTGCATTCTAGCCCAAAAAATCAACAAAAACTGCCATGCAATAGCAAAGGGTAGGGTGGGGCAAAAATAAAGAATTGCTATAAATGGATTGACTATACCTATCATGAAATCAGGGGAAGCAATTACTTGTCTTGGTCTATATTTAAGACTTACCAGCATATCTCTTTATACACTGCATTTAGGTCATTATTTACAAGTTAGTGACCTAAATATAGTTTAAATATTATCTATAATACTCACATTACTGTTCGCATATACAAGGATCATGGCGTCCACGGGTAAGTGTGTCATATATTGATATTCAACAGTCTTTTTGTACTTTTAGTAATCTTTTAATATTTAATCACCCTTCGTTGGGTTTTGAAGCATGGTTTTAACAATATTCCCAAATATTGTGCGATAATAAATGGGAGGTAATTGTAGTGTGCACATTTACCCACTCAAATAATATATAAAAGCTATCGCTTTCATCTTAAACGCATCCTACTTTTCTGCTCCGACTGGGATAATGAATACGGGAATATACATCATACAGTCCCGAAATGACCTAGTTTGTGTCGAGTGGACGTGTGATGCTCGGTCTTTGGCCTCTTGTTTCCACCATCTATCTCTTGCCTCTTGTATCTTTTTCTTTAGTTTCCGAAGTTTATTACTGACGTGGATTTGCATTATGCCCTGCACTTTCTAATTTAGTTACCCCATTACTTTTATATGGTTCATACATTTTTGAATTAAGCTAATTAACCCAATCGGCTCCATGTCGAACATTTGTGATGTGATTTCAATCCCAGATTAACTGTAAATGCTTTCCCCAAATCTGACACCCTTTGATATTGTTAAAATAATTACAGCATCCAAGCATTTCCTTAACACTACCATAATTTCACCGTGGTGACTAGCCTGTACAGCGTACAATTATTTCCTACAGTCACCTTAACCGGCAGTCTTCACCATACATGCCACAGATTTCGGGGCATCATGAAGTTTTTTGGGGTTTTTTTGTTTTTTTTTTAAAAAGACTAATCTGTATAGCCCTTGTCAAAACCACGCATAGGTCAATATAAACTAAACATAACAAAGAAAGGCCGATCCAACGAGGCACAAAAATAAGTGGGACGCGTACTACTCTATAGTCACCTTTTATCAGCGAATTGTACACTTACGAATGACATTGTAAATTAGTTTTGCCAAACGATATGTACCACGGTTCTTTCACTTTGGTAATTCAGAGTATTACAGTTCACCAGCTGTATGTGCGCCTACAGAAAAAGATTTGACGAAATTATCAGATGAGTTAAACTTAAAATGTACATCAGAGGAAATCAAGTCCATAGCTGGTAAGGTTTGTATAAAATACAGTATCAACCCTAAAGGGTAACTAGATTCTATGTCCGGACATTCGATTTTACGGCAAATGTAAATATATTATAGTACCTGGATTTTAGAGAATGTGATGAAAGTACAAATAACAACGTGAAATGGGGTTTAACGTCCTACTGTTCTGCTCCTAACCTAGGCTAATGAAGACGGGCATACGCCATACAGTGTGTTTATAGGTGTTCTAGAGAGTAAGCATACTACATCCATTAACTGTTATCTGTGTATGCTGTGATTTTGTGAAACTGAAACTTATATTTGACTGAATATATCCTCATAGCTGTCGTAACAATGTAAGGCATGTATTTAAGAAGTCGTTACTTTTGTGATAAAATGAGATGTTTAACTAACATTGATACTGTCTTAAATTTTAGCACAATTTAAAAATGTTTCAAGCTCGTACCAAAGATTATCACAGATTCCAGAACCATCACTTCCTGTAAAATATCACAGGGTTCCTGGTCATAGGCCAAACGTCGACGACAATCCTTACAATGCTTGGTAAATTAGATTCCAATTTCTATTTTTACGGTGGTATTAATCTTCCGTACAGAATAATCTTAAAGCCCAAAGAATTTTAAATGTATTCATGTAAATGATTGGCTAAGGGCAGCAGACAACATTGGAAAGGCCCCACTGCAGTATACAATATATTAAAGTTCATTTGGACATTAAGAATACTATTTTATGCACTTTATGCACGGCGTTTTCTTGTGTTATTAGCTTATTTGCACCATATTTACCTAGTAAATGAAACTCCGCCAGGCAGACATCGATGAAAAATGTTTACGGCAATAAAAATAGGCTAAACTGTGATTTGGTCGCTTATCAATTTTACCCATTCCGTCTGTTTACTTAAGGAGTTGGAAATGTGATATTCAAGGATCAAATGTGGGTAAATTAGTAGGTAAGAAAATAGGTATAAAAGATAACATTGCTGTAGCTGGAATACCTATGATGAATGGGTCAAAGATTCTAGAGGGATATACGCCGCAACTTGATGCTACCGTTGTCACCAGAATTCTTGATGCTGGTAGGTTGGTTTACATTAATTATACAAACCATTAATGTCATTGTAGAAAATATAATTGTAATACACTAATGAACCATTATCAGTAGGTCTACACTACCGCTATCCAATTACGCGAACAGTTTGAACTAAAGTAACTTAATCAGGATCGCAAGAATTCGATACCATTTCTCGGTGGAAGCGGACGTAAAATACAACTAACTAACAACAATTCGATACCAAAATCATCCCTGAAAAAATATCAGGTGCTAAGTGAATGCGTTTTGCGTCAAGGTTTTGAGTTTTCGTGCCCCCTCTCAAATTAGAAACTGTATAATCAGATGTGCTACCAATCGACTCATGGTTTATCACGCCCCCCCCCCCCCTCCCCGGCAAAAACCACGCTAGCCCTCATATCACCTACGTCAGGCAGTGTATAAGATTAATTCCCAAAATGTGCAGTGATCATCCTCACTTTGCACAATAATTAAATGACATTATCTGGAACCATGCATTAGACTGTATATTGTTTACTAAATAGTTCGTTTTTAAATATTTTTTTCAATCTTAATTAAATGAAATCCCTCATTGTCTTGCCTTGTGGTAGATGCTATTATCTAAGACTTAAGCGATAAAAGTTATCATTAATCATATGTAAGCATAACGCGTAGTATCGTTGTGCAGTGATCAATTTTCTTATTTTACACACGTCATATCCTAAATCAATGGCCAAGAGAGCAGAGCCATCACTGTAAATACTTTGTTATAATTATCCTATCATTTTTATAGGAGGAAGAATTGTGGGTAAAACTGTCTGTGAGGATCTTTGTACAGGCGCATGTAGTTTTACATCTTCCACTGGACCTGTTAGAAATCCTGCTGATGAAACTAGAAATGTTGGCGGTTCCAGTTCAGGAAGTGCTGCCTTGGTTAGTGTGCTGATTTCTAGAGATTACATGAGTTGAAGCGTTATTTCGAAGTGTTATTTTTTGAACAATGTACTGCATGGTTGACCAAAACTTTAGTTGGAATTTGTAAATTTTGAAACCATTTGTTTGTTTGTTTAGATAGCCGGTAATAAGATTGACATGGCATTGGGAGGAGATCAAGGTGGTTCTATCAGAGTACCAGCATCATGGTCTGGTATAGTTGGTTTAAAACCAACCTATGGTTTGATACCTTACACTGGCGCCATGTCTTTAGAAATAACGCTCGACCACCTTGGGCCAATGGCTGCTAATGTTTACGACTGTGCTCTACTCTTAGAGGTAAATTCATTATGAAAACTGCAATAAATTATTTAATGAGGGGATGAATTACTAAGTTTTTATTAACAATATTTTATTCAGGATATCTGAATGCAATTGAGGAATTGGCTCATTCTATGTAAAGTCTCTATTTCTGAATGTTACTATAAGTTATTATTCCATGAGGGTATATTGTCACCATGGCCGACGGCACACAATTTTTATAAATACTCTACAGGTCAGATTTTTAAAGATGTTATTGTTCAGCTAATCACAAAGAGTTAGAAATGGGGTTTAACTTCCACTCGACACAAACAATGTCATTTCGGGACTAACATATATGGTTTAATTTTATTTCAATAATCCGCAAGCCCGTAGGGGTCTTTAGCAGCGAGAGAAAACCCACGAGGTTGGACAGGCAACCCTACTTCTTGTCGCGTTCAAGCGGGAAATCAAAACCACGTCACTTGACTCAATTACTGACCTTATGATCCAACGCGCGTTACCCCCCCCCCCCCCGGTAATCATGTATAATTTATACATTATATTTTCGCGATACAAACCTGTAAAAGGACCACAGATCCATGTTCTTGAGATTTCACGACGTACAGTGACGTTCAAAATTTCGTTACATCATTTTTATTAAAAGACTATGAAATAAACATCTAAATTTAACTTATACTGACAATTATAGAGAAACCGTTATATGACTTAATAAACATGCGCTCAATTTTTATATCAGAATCATGCCCCAGCACAACTGTTCAATTTCAGGTTCTTGCTGGTTACGATGAAGGAAGAGATCCCCGGCAACCACGAGATTTGAAAGTAAAGCCTTATACAAGCCTAGTAAGTTGTACCAAATAAAATAATTATAAGGTAGGGTGGTTCACGTTAAAATCAAAAACTGATTTAAATCATAAATACAGCAATATAATTTAGTAATTATCAAATAGTTAATAAACCATGCCTCCAGAATACACGCAATACACACTACATGCCACTCAATATGACGAGAGATATGGCCATTTACAATTTCTCAAATATTTAGCTAAAGCTTCTGACCGTCTCCAGTAGTCACTGGTGGTTCGAGTCTAAACTTACGCTCGGTCAACCAGTCTACTATGACGATGTACCTCATTGGAAAATTATACGAAACGCGTGTTTTACGGTCGAATATTTTTCGATTTCACAAACACGCATTTGCGGCAATCAAATGAATGTGTCGTTACAAATACATGTATCAGACAATTTGAATAAACAGTATTTATATACAAATCCCGGGCACAATATTAGGAATCAAAAATCTACCATGATTTTTATAGCTGGAAATGGGTATCCAAGGAAAAAAGATTGGTTTACTTCAAGAAGGGTTTTCAATGTGTACTCAAAGGGATGTTGCTGATATAGTAGAAAGAGCTGCCATGAGTTTAGTAAAGGTTGGAGCCACAGTGGAATATGTTTCAGTACCTCTTCACTTAGATTGTAAGTTATTATGTTTCTAAATAATATTCTAATTTTGGCACCTAAGATATATCGAACAACACCTCTCTACCCAAACATCAATCATCCTCGGTGATATGCCCCCCGCCCCCTTAAAACAAAAAAAATATTAAAATGGAAACTTCTAAGGGGACAGTGGCAAGCAGGTTCTGACTGATCCTGAGGTTGTGCGTTGGGTTTCGGTACTGAGCCCCTCTTCTAATCTCTCACCAATATTGGATTTCGTTTGTCATAAATCCCACATTGTCCGGCAGAAGTATGGCTGAACCTGGAAATTGTATACAAAGTTTTTTATGGCTTATTTTAGTAGCCTTGGTTGTCCTCTTTCAGAATCTGCCGGGTGAACCTCGGTCACCTTTGAGTGTTTTGAAACATTCAAGACTCCAGAAACATAAGTTTGGACACGAAAATTTTCATCCTAGACTAAATACTACGGGAGTTATAGGTTTGGTTTTTTTTTTAAATGGCGGCCATCTTGAATTTCTCAAAACGCTCAAGGGTGAGCCGTCAGATACTGAAAGAGGATACTCTATGCTACTAAAATCAATCATAAAAAAAAAACTTTGTATACAATTTCCAGGTTCACTCGAAATATTGGGTTTGGCGAGCGGATTAACAGGTAGCCATTCAGAGGCGTATTTCCTCTACGCGATATGTGTGACTCCTCCTACCTAAATATGGACTTGCACTTTACTGGGTTTTGATTTTTACACATGTTTCACTGTAAAGTTGTTATGTCAATAACCGTCAAACCTACAATCAAAAAATCACAGCTGTACTTTGTCTAACCAGCACTTCCAATCCAATAAGTGGTGCGTTATATAATCTACCTTTCTTTCAGACTTTTTGTTTAATTATATCAGACTAGCAGGATACCCGGAAGTGGTAGACTAACGCCACCTAGCCTATGTTACTCCCCGGTCGGAGCTACCCCTATACCCCAAATTTCAGACTCGGGGCAGACCTAGTGTAGCCGCCAACCCCGCTTCGCTCGGGGGTAATACCTCCGAAACCGGAAGTGGTAGACTAACGCCACCTAGCCTATTTTACTCCCCGGTCCGAGCTACCCCTATACCCCAAATTTCAGACTCGGGGCAGACCTAGTGTAGCCACCAACCCCGAACAGACAGACACACAGACAAACGACAGTCACAAATATTAGTATAGAAGATTAGGATATTAATGTGGAGTGCGTTTTGTTCCTACCGATTTTATAGATATAAAGTAGTCGGTCCTGAAAGATGAAGAAATGACGCGATTCCTAGTCTTTTCTAAAGAGAAAATATGAAATCATTACTAATAGTTAAACAGGCGTTATACAAGAGCTAAATATGCCTATTGCAGATCTTTCTTTGGGCCTTAATTGTTATATAACCTATTATTTAGACATTTATTAACATGACAAGACCATAATCAACTCTCGATGCTATCGGATATGGGCCATTTAATGATTTAATTTTAAACAGGTGAAGCGAGGCTAAGCCCTGAACAACCAGTATGGTGGTTACAATCAGTACACACATCTTGTCAAACCTTCAAAGGCTAATCTATTTGAATGAAATTTTCAATATATTAATTTTGCATTATTTATTTTTGAACTAGTATAGCAAGAATGGGCAGCTATTTTTTTTTTATCTAAATCTTACACAATGCTTCGTTAACTGTCATTTGTATTGAATGCCCTTTGTATCTATTTGCTGCTCGCTACTACCCTGTCACGTGTACGTCTATTTATTCGCAACTACATAATTTAAAAAAAAAAACATTATTCTTAATATAAGATATTATTTACTATTTTAAAACAATTCTATATTCCAGCTTGTGCTATTTGGACGGGTGTAAGACTAGGCGCATATAACAATATGATTCTAGGAAATGGTTAGTAGTTGATAGCGCTGAACCAAACAAAAATCATTTTGACATATAGCCTCAAATATATAGAGTCAGGCGAGCTTTGTCAACCTGTACCACCTATCACAAAAAAGGCGTAACTAAAATGAGCTTCCACGGCACCACGGCATTTCTTATTTTTGTAATAGGGGCATTGAATTCATAGTTGGGCCCAATCACGGAATTTGCAAATTATATATATATATATATTCGATCATTGATTAGTGAATGCAAACTCTGTGTTGTACTTAATTAACAAGCTCATCTTACTCTGCTGTACTGGCTTACTCATACAAAATACAACAGATATGATAGACAAACATCCGTACAATGATTTTCTGTGTCAATTAATCTGGTACTAATTATGTCTCTATGATATGTATTATAGGAAACCATTGAAGTTATTTGTCCCCAATGCTCACGAGTTCTTGTGACAGCCATAATCGTAACTGTAAATATTGATTCATTGTCTTGTTAACCTAATTCCAACCGTAACCCAGACAGATGATACATAGCCTACATGTCATGAGTTATCGGGGGTTCGTACAGGAACAATATTTCATTATTCACTGTTAACGGGGTATTCCGTGTTTTGTCATATTCAATGAATATTTACATTTAACTACCAACAAATGTTTCTAAATATATGCATGGGATTTGGTCCAATTTGAAGTTTATTTCCATTATAACAGTCACAGCCTGGAACGTGCTTCTCACTGGTGGTTACAAAACTAGTTTATAGCTAAACAACGTATGGACATTTACGGTATAAAAGAAAAACTGGTGAAATATTTCACGACCCTACTGAACAAATAGTAAAACTAGTACACAACATTGTATATTTCTGCTTACTCTTGCATTGTAGGTAACGGATATAACTGGAAAGGTTATTATGCTACAAGTCTTCAAGAAGCTTTTTACCGTGGAAGAACGACCCGGCCTTATGATTACTCAAAGACTGTAAAATTGTTCTGTTTAATCGGTGAATATATGTATAAGATGTACGGTAATAAATTCTACGCTAAGGGTCAAAATTTATCAAGGGTATTAACGCATGCATATGATAAAGTACTAGAAGAGTATGATGTTTTGATTCTACCCACAACACCTCACACAGCTTCCAAACTTCCTCCTGGCGATTGTTCAGTAGCTGGTGAGTAATCTTGATTTCGGTTGGAGTTAAAGTTCCTGCCTATCCGTACCAATATCGTTGAATATAATTAGTTTGATTTCATTGCGAAAATGCAATAACTAAAACAAAACATTAGTTTTATTTTTCAAGCCAAACTACTCGTGAAAATCTTATACCTAATCAATTAGCTTTATTTATTAGCTTTTTCGAAGGCTCAAATTACCCTTCACCCCCACCACCCACAAACAATAAATCGAATTTAGTTACTTGACGCTATTTGATATTCATTAATTGAAATAAGCAGCATTCTCGCACCCTCTCTCTTTCAGGTTACTTTGAGACAATTTTACCGGTTGGTAAGCTTACCCAAAGTTTCAATGTTACTGGTCATCCCGTCATTTCTATACCGGCTGGAAATAGTAAGCAGCTTCCAGTTGGAATGAGCATTGTAGGAAGACATTTTGACGAAGCAACAGTCCTACAAGTAGCCCGGTCTTTCGAGAAAATAGGGGGCGAAGATATTTGAAAATCTGTTATGGTTTTATTATTAAAATATTTAATGTTTGTCTTTGTTAGAGTTAAGTATGTCGGAACATGGCATGTTATTCTTCTTGTCGTTCCATTGGGGTGGTCGTCGCCTGAATCACCACCTTCCTATATTGATACAAAGTTCCAGGGTCATCTTCTTTTTATTGGTTTTGGTTTCTGAAAACCAATTCGAAACTACCGCTTCAATTGCTTAGACACTTGTTTCTCATTCATTTGTTAGTCATATAGTGAAAAACGATGTATGCAAGCACCGCTTGATTTCGGAGATGTAAAGTTCAAGGAATCAGGGTCCTTCTTATCAACGACAACAACCGACAAGACTGCGTGTCTTTTGTCAGTAGCGCCAAACGTATTGTAAAAAGTGACCTCCAAGGAAAGATATGTTATCCGTTAAATTCTATGGCCTGCTTCCTGGCCGGTCTGTCTTCTTCGCGGCAAAGATCTATTTTATTCAGACGTGGATATAGCCTGGAAAGTCCATTTTAGTTAGCCAGATGGCGAGGTTTCCATGGCGCGATGAGGCTACAAGTTTTAACCGAATTTAATACGCCCACATAATATTATGTCGTCGCCCATGTCTGTCCGTCCGTCAACAATTGGGTTGTAAACTCGATAGAGAATACCATTATTAACGGATTTTTTTTTAAAAATTTAGTGTGAAGCATTGGGTCATTTGAGGACAAACCCTATCGATCTTCAGCTTTCTTCAAGGCGGGGACAATTAAAATGGGCACGTCCGTCTGTCCGTCTGTCACACTTTTTTAGACACAATAACTCTCCTTCTAATTGAGTTAGAATGTTCAGACATGGTGTAGGTGTTAAATAGGCGAATGCCTTGATGAAGCGCGAAGATGGTCATTTTCTGATTAGGCTAAGCAGAGATAATCAATTTGATTGGTTGATGCTTTGGGACACGATAACTTTGGTTCTAATTAAGTGAGAGTGATGCAACTTGGTGTTTAGTTTCATTATATCAATACCTTGACTAAGTTTGATAATGAGCATTTTCTGCTCAGGGTAAGCAGAGCGATAAGGAATTTGATTGGTCTAGACTTTGAAGCTCGATAACTTTGATTTTAAATGAGCGAGAGTGGTGAAACTTCATGTATAACCTTAAATTTCACGCTAAAACTAAGCAGAGCTGAGCAATTCCATTGGTCGATGCTTTGGGACAAGATAATTCTGATTCTAACTGATGGAGAGTGATGAAACTTAGTGTATAGTTTCACTACCAAGTACTTCAAAACCTAGACTGAGTTCGATTGTGAACATTTTCTGCTTAGACTAGTATAGATAATCAGTTTGATTGTTCGATACTTTTCAAAAAGATACATGTGCAATTAATTAGTAATGTGTATTTTGGGATTGCGGCGGTGGATACCAGTCCTTGTTAACGCAATTAGTTTTTAGTGGATTTTCTTCAAATTTGGTCTGAAACATCGAGGTCATGGGTGGATGAACGCTATCAAAATGCAGGGTTTCACGACCTTCTATGTCCAGAGTACTATTACAGTTTGTAGGGGATGTTTTTCAAACCCGATAGCAGCTACAGTCTGTAACAGATTTTCTTCAGATTTGATCTGAAGCCCTGGAGTCATAGGAGAACCAACGCTTTTCTTCAAGAATTACTCCCCACCATCCCGCTTTGCTGTCGTGTGGGTGTATTTCCAGACTGTGTGTGGCTATCTTTCTCTGATTTTATTACCTAGTCGTGGCGTTATTTGGTAACCGATGTAACCGGGTAATAGAATAAAATTAAAGATACATTATGGGAAATTAGATAACGAGTTGGCAGTTCTCACTATAATAGTTAAAATCTAGATAATGTAAAGGCAATTTGCTGAAAATCTCATTCAAATTGATCCACTATGAACCAAGAAATAGGGCGATTGAAATTTCCGCCTAGCCTCGATCATCATTACTAAAGTTGGTACGACAAAAATCATAATCTCGATTATCCATTTAATCATTAAATCGTGAAGGAAAGTTATGCAGTAAATCGCATCATAATCCACTACAGATCGCAGGCTAGCGATGCCATCGAGAGTTGATTATGGTCTGGATAAGTTAATTAATGTCTAATTAATAATTTAGATAACATTTCAAGCCTAAAGAAAGACCTGCAAATGGCAGATTTAGCTCTTGCATAATGTATGTTTAATCACGATCTCAACTACTTCTTTTGATTTTGTTCAAGCAACGCCTTTCGGTCCACAAACAATAAGAGTTTTCTAGGATTCAAAGGTCCAAGTAACATCAATCTCAGTCTTTAATAAGAGGAGGAGGTGATCTAGTGATTTAGCGTGTGTCCTAATGTGGTCTGTCATTAACTCTACCAATGTTGTGGTTTCGATCCCAATGAGTAATATAGTTTTCTCCGTGTCCTACGGTTTCTTCCCACCTCTATAGACCCTTATGTATCACGCTAGTCCCGAAATGGCCTAGTTTGAGTCGAGGTCATTATACTAGAAATGCCCTGGAACCGGATGTGGTATTAAACTCCGTTATTCCTCGCTCTTTCTTGCCAGAAAATAAATATACATCCACAAGCGGCTTTCAAAATGCCATAAGATTCCAATGACAGGAGCAATTACCAATAGGATTCCTCTTTTTATGACGAGCCAAACAGTTCCAAACAAATCTCTGACATCAGGCATGTTTTCCAGAATTGTGACTTGACCGGCAGGGGTGAATACAATATACCGTCACATACAACATAGAGAAATAATAAAGTTGGTCGAAGTGCGATATAGAGTTGTAATCATATAAAGACAAAATTAGTCAATGTGAAAAGCTTATGAATTAATCCCTGTATTTTCGACATTATTTTCCTCTGTAGCCTTTTTTCTTTTGCGCGACACCAGTAACATTGGCTAGGTCTAAGGAATGTGTCAAAGACGTTTACAGCTGGTGTTAGTATGTAATTACACACGTCACAGCAATCAGCTATGTGTATTTTGGAATAGCTGTCACAGCTATCCGCTCCACAGTCTGAACCAATCAATTAACCTTGTGGTCAGTTCGCTGTAAACAGAAAAAAACCCAATCATAGAATATTATTAGAAAATCTACATTACATATTATATGGAAATGCGCGAGTTTTGACGGTGTAGGGTATGTCATAAATGAAGCAAGTTGTCAAAGGAGCTACATCTCTTTTCTTTGGCAAATAGAAATGGACACAAATGGGTCGCAACGCATATAATAATGTAACATGAATGTACATCAACTGACTTACATTCAATCTTTTCTGCTTTCACTGTAATTTCTAGTACAAATTGAATGGCAGTCTTTGGTTTCTGATTATTCTAGCTACACCAGTAGTATTCTCCTGTGGGATATATTTACCTCCGTTCATCGAGTCGCGTCATTACAAATAACGCTCGAAAGCATTGGTGTGCCAATTTTAAAATTTTCATTTGTCTTAAATATTGGATATCAGAAGCCCATCTTTACACTGTAAGATAAAACACCAATGTTGATTTAAATTGACCAAAAAGTCGTGTTTGCAATGTCGAAGACTGTGCATGATATTGAGTTAGTGACTTGCCTCCTTCAAGTTGTACACTTAGCCAAGTATACTTAGAATACTAGATTATACCGTTAAAGTAGAGCACCGACTCGGGGAAACGATGGGGACAATTTCCTGGGATGTAAAATTGGACCATACAAAAGATTATTCATTGTCGGTGAGAAAATACGAAAAAAATTTTCTTGGTGCATGAGTCAATGCACTTATTTGGTTTTTTTTCTCCAATGTTCTGTATTTGTAAATAAAATGACTGGCCTCTAATACACCATTGAAATTAAATATAAAGACTATTGGATTTATCCAGCTTGTTGCAAGTCGAAGTTTATCAACCTGCCAACACACGATAATTACCTCCCCTGACCTATGTCGTTTCAAATCATATAACTTATATAGATATAAGTAACTTATTATATCTAAGTACACCTATATCATGGCATGCATATCAATTGAATTTAGTTTACAACCTTGCAGTTATGATAATAATCCTTTAGTGGCATTTAGCAATTGGAAACATAACAAAACTATACCGTTATATGGGACAACAATCACTGGTTTATTATACACAGGCACGACGTTTCGATAAGTATTCTCTTATCGTTATCAAGCACAATGACATTTTGTAAACTTGAGGGTCTATATATATGTACAATGTGAAACCATTCTTATTACTAATCATTAGAAGAGTTCAACCAATTAACAGACATATTTAACATCAAAGACCTGAAAAGCACCGTGTGATGACAAGGATATAGTTGTACATGAACCTTAAAACGACCCTGATATTGAAAAAGAAAAATGATTAGGGGGAAACCATACATTAAACAAACAGTATATAACAGATAGAGCTTATAAACACACGGTCTTGTAAATAAAACCACATTCACAAAATGTTATGAAAACAAAGCATAATAGCACTAAGATAACACAATAAACTGATCCAAGGGTTTGAAGGATCTAATATAGGCTAATAATAATATACTAAGTTAACATAGTAATCACGATTCAAGGTGTTAAAGTTCAGAGAATATATGTTATTAAAAGTTAATAATTGGGGGGGGGGGGAAATCAAAAATATACATAATTAAAAGTGATAACTGGGGGGGGGGGGAGAAAAACCCATTAGACCACTTGTATGTAACTGATAAGGGCTTATAACACAGGATCTTGACTGAAAAGTAATACAGCATAACATCACAATAACTTAAAAGGTATTAAAACACAGCATAATAGCACTAGGATAACACAGAAATCGCGAGCTAAGGTGTTGTAGGTTGATAACGGGCTAAAACTGATTGGACTAGGTTAACATAGTGATGTGCGATTAACGTGTTGTAAGTTCAAAAATAATTATTGAGAGTTAATGGTTACCCATTGTAGGCTAATTGACTGATTTGATAACTTCATCATATGCCCTCGGAATAAATAGTCCCAAATCTTTGTTTAATTCTGGAGAAAATCTTTTGATGTTAATGGCTTCTTTTAA